GACCTTAGGGAAGGTATCAATCGCTCTGTATCTCAGTTTCCAGATCTGTAAAACTGAAATTGGGATAAAATAGTACCTACTTCATTCCAGTAAGTGCAAACCATGTGTTTTGTGTGTGTGTGTGCATGTGTGTGTTCAGAAGTATGATACTTTTTTCTGAGAAACATTTATACAAGTTGTCATCAATAAATTAACATTCCCATTTCGATTGATTGATTTGTTAGTCCACATGCCAGGGACGGTTCACACATATGATCTGATAAAAATACGCCTGACTTAGTTTTGTGCTTTCTAATAGATGAGCATTTACAATGGGTGGATATCTTGTTTCTGAGTTTTTTGTATTTTGCTTTTTTTTTACTTTTTATCACTGATATCCATTAATGTCTCTATGCAACCTGTTGATCTGCCCTTGAAATCTTAGACAGCGTACATACAATATCATTTAATCAGTTGCACTGAGAAAGCTAGGATGTCAACCTAGCCCTTCAGTAGACAAAAGGAGAGGATGCCCTGAAGCAGGGAAGTGGGTTTTGACGAATACTAACGTCATTTCAGGAAAGCGTGACTAGACTAGCAGGCGACATCAGCGCGAGCTGGGAGCGCTGACCCCGTCTCCCAGCCACCTGCCCCGAACGACACCACAATGTGGTATGACACACACCTCCCCCAGCTTTGAGGTTTGAACTACATTTGCTGTTCTCTCTGTATACAACGTTTATAATGGTTACTGTGTTCATCATCCTTCTTAGCATTTTATTTCTGAGCAGGACCAGACCAGGTCTTTGAGAGAAAAACACAAGTCCCTGAATGAGAACTGAGTGTTCTTGGCAGGTAAATGAAGCTTAACAAGACAGTAATTTTCCTGAATGGCACCTTCATGGTCTTAAAATGATTATAATCATGCCTCCAGAAGTAGTATACCTAGTGGATTCGAGGTAACAATGTAATAAATGCAAATGGTATAAAATCACATCTTAAACTTAGTGGTATGGTATTTATGCTCATCCACATAATGAATTTTAAGATTTTTCCCCCAATTACTTAATTTCTACTACCTAATATCCAAAAATCATCAGCTTCCTTCTACACAGCCACAAATAGAATTCCTACTGACTTATGTAATAAGGATAAACTTAATACTTGAACTTGCACCAAAAAAGTTTCTGATAAGCCAAATGGGGACCACTGATGTTAGTGCACACACCCTGACAAGTCAGTTACAGGGTGGGGACCTGTTTTCTTTCCTCTGGTGGGTTTGCTTCAGCCCCTCTCCACCTACCCAATCTCTAGAACTCATTTCCAGTAAGTGCAAATCACATGTAACGTAAATTTTATGCTTCATTTCCAACTTCTATTTGCTACCTTACCAACTCCACTGGGACCGTGTATCTCTTAGTGTCCATTTTCAAAGCCCTCCCTCGCCTTCTGTGCCCAGATCCCCATCACTTGCTTGTATTGTGTGGTCCATCACTGTAACGGCTCCCTCAGCGCCTCTGAGCCCCAATGTTCCTTCAACTCACCCAGGAAAATGCCGACTCTGGTTTAATTCATCTGTCTGTCCTCTTCTGAACCTACGTAACTGAACATGGCTGGAGAAACACGTGCCCAGACTAACCAGCCTCACCTAGGTTAAGGTGAGCCTGCAGAGCTGTCAATAACTCAACTCCATTTTTCTAGAAGAATGGTTGGCAACTCTTTCTGTAAAAGACCACGTAGTGAATAACTTAGGTTTTATGGGCCATGAGGTCCCTGTTGCAACTTCTTAGCTCTAAGTACAAGACAACAGCTGAAGTATATAAATAACTGGGCATCACTGTTTGCCAATAAAACTGTTCAATAAAACAACACAATGGACAGCCGAGACTTAGCCCGAGGCCACAGTTTCCAGATTCCTTCCCTAGAATATTGGCTATTGTACATCCCCTATGGTATAGCTTTCGCTAATCAAACTTCCAGCACTTTCTTTCCATTCAGAGTTGGAAATTGCTTCCTATTTCAGGGAGAAATGAGAAACAATTAGAAGAACATTTCCATAATTTCCCATCACTCACCTATTAATATATCTACATCAATATGCAAATCTCTGCCTTTTCTCTTTTTAATATGGATGAATTGCTCACGTTTCTCAGGTCAAACACACTTGACATATTATATTCTAGATCTCATCTCCTCTCACCTACTGAGGGTAGGTATCACTCCAGCAAATTTTCCTCTCTCTGATGTCTCTTGAATCACCAGTTTTTCACTCTCTCATGGTTTATTCTAACCTTAAAACGACACACAACAATAATAAGGAAAACTAAAAACCCTCTCCTGATTCCTTATCTATCTACACCCCGCCAATTTTTTTTCTCCATTACAGCTTATCTCTTTGAAAGAGGTCTGTACTCACCTGCAATTACTCTCCTGTCACTTTTTCTTAAACCCTTTGCTATCAGCCCCTTGTACGCAGCACTCCATGGAAGTCAGTCTTGTCAAGGTGGCAAGTATCCTCCAGATTTCTGCCCCCAGTGCTTAGTTCTCAAGTGAAAATTTGGAAAACCTTCATTTTCTAGTGACTATTTATTGAGACTCAACTATAGGCAGTTACCCATCTAGGCACTGGGATTTTAGCAGTGAACAAAATGTAAACATTTTTACCCTTTTGTGTTTTACATTCTGATGCAGGGAGACAGATATTAACAAAGTCAGTCAGTCCTATGAAGCGTTTTTGAGGTGAGAAATGCTATGGAAAGGACTTCGTCAGGGTAAGATGCTTAGGGGCCGGCTGAGTTGCAGGGTGGGCTGGGGTGGAGAATTTTCAGGAATCTTACCAAAGGGTAACCTTTAAGACCTAAAAGAATTGAGAGAGTAAGTCATAAGGTAAAGAACATTCCAAACAATGGAATAGTAGGAAAAAGATCCTTACCAGAAGCAGCAATGGAGCCAGAGTGGATGGACAGAGGGAAAATAATTAAGTGAGATGAGGTCAGGGATGAGAGGACAGATTGCTTGGGCCCTTGCAAGCCACTGGCCTCATCACCTTAACTTGTGAGCAGCATCTGATACGCATTCTTCCTGGGGTGCCTCACATCCACGCCTTTCTCCGAAACAATTGGGGGGAAAGCTAACAACTTACTGGGTTTTCTACCTTTGTAGCTTGTTCACGTCACCTTCAGCAGGACCAGTTCTTGTGGGCTGTACTGACACCTCACTTCTCACAAGCTGTGGAGGTGATGGGAGACTTCTGTGCCCTAACAGGATGGTGGTTGTATGAAGGCACACCTTTGTCAAAACCTAATGAGCCTGTACACTAAAATCTGTGAACTTTACTTTTTGTACACTATATATATGTGTGTGTGTGTGTGTGTGTGTGTGTGTGTGTATTAAATGATTATGCCTCCATTAAAGATCAGATTTTAAAAATCAAAATTAAAAGAAGAAAAATGCAGACTTTTGAGAACCTCTCTCTGGGTTCATACCTTGTTTCTGCCATTGTGACCTTAGGGAAGGTATCAATCGCTCTGTATCTCAGTTTCCAGATCTGTAAAACTGAAATTGGGATAAAATAGTACCTACTTCATCTGTCTTAAGTAATTCATTACATCAACATAATCATCAGTTTTGGGGACTGAACAGGACTGTAGAGATCAGTTTATAATTTCACATTTATAAATAATAAACTCAGAGACATTGAGTTGCCCAAGAATATACAATAATCTAGTTATCAGCCTTCTACTGTAGTTCAGGTTTTCTGTCATTATGAAGACAATTAAGTGAGGGGTGCCTGACGTGGGTAAACGTCATACAATCTTTCCTGTTTCCTGGGTCTTTGGGCTGAGGGCTCCCCAAGGAACCGGAACCCTCTAAAAAAACTAAAGGCACAGTGTAACTAAATACATTAAACTGATGACAGTTTGATTCATATTATAACTATTTTCACAAACACTGCCCAAATGATAAGTTTAGCAATTTACCATTTTCATATCTTGTTAATGAAAAAAAGGGTTACGTGTTTATAATCTTATGTTAAAGATCAAAAACAATTGGCCTTCTATTGCAGTCTTTTTTGTAAAATCAGTGTTCAAAAGTTAGCCATATTTAAAATGGCAATTTTTTTTACATATGAAAGATTGAGTATCAGTGTCTGAAGGAAAGAATTCCTTCATTATGTACTACTTTCAATAATAATACTCTGTGAAGGAATTTGCACATGATGACAACCATGGCTGATTAATCTAAAAATGATTGTATACCAAATGGTTTATCTCTATTTTTATTTTTTAGAAATAATTTCTTGTATTTTAGCCCTGAGATTTGAAAACATAAAAGCACCAGAAACTTCCATGTCTTGGATTGAAAACCTTCAGGTACTGAGTGGTCTCATAATCTCAGATATTTCATAATAAAGAAATAGCTTGAACTCCAAAACAAAGATTTTCAGTGATGAGTGATCTAAATTATAAATATGAGTTAGCATGTAATCCAATGTGATTGTAAGCTAATTTTTAAGTGGAAACTTACTGTTTTAACCTTTTATTCTTCATACTGTAAACTGAAGAATCTGTCAGAACCCAGCGACAGGGACCAGGGCTGCAACCGCCCCCGACTCTGAGATAAGCTGATGCTCACCCCTGCTCACTTTATTACAGGGCTCAGCTTCTGTGAAAAAAAAATACCTATTTTATTTGTACTAGTCTTTCATCTGTATTTTATTAAATAATAGACATATGTGCCCCTATATTAGCACTAATGAGTTTGATCCAACATCTTGTCACTGTGATTAAAAAAGAAGCACAGATAAAGAATAAAATGCAAGCCACATGTCTGTTTTCAGCTTGCGTGTACAAGCTGTGGGAGTCCGAATTCTTTTTCTTAAAATGCACAAAGGGTTATTGCTTGAGTAGGCTGAGGTCTGTGAGGTAATTCAGTTCAGCATTCAGTCTGAGGACTAGACACATAAATGCAACGTGAAGGCAGATCGAGAATTAAGTGTTGACTACGTTCTCTCTGCAGTTCCTTGGGGCTTTCCCGGTGCATCGGTCCTGTCCGTGTGAGTGACAGATCGGCTTGGCCAGCACCCCGTTCACCAGCAAGAGGCAGCAATATTTCCAGGTGCGTGGGCACACCTGATCCCCTTCTTCAGCATCCCTTTAGTGTACTTACTGAAAAGTGAATATTGAGAGGAAACAGCTAAAAGTGGGGAAGTGCTTCCATGTAATCAGTTTGAAGTATGAGGAGTAATAAACCCTACATACCCTTCTGAGATAAGCTGAAATAAATACTCTTCCTCCAAATACTTGGCTCCCAGGAGCCGTCCTACAGCATTATTATATCAACAGTGGTACTGGAGGTACATACTCTCAAGAGTTCGCATTTTCTGTTGTACTTAGTGCTTAAAAAATCATTTTCGATCAAGATTTTATAGGAGTTAACACGACCTCCCCACAGCACGCCACTGAAAATGCTTATATGATCTCAGCTCACCCCATAGCTGGGAGCAAGCCGTTTCTTCTAAAACTTGCAATTAAACTTTATCTAAAACAGTCAGCTGATTATGATTTAATTTCTCTATATGTTAAGTGTACTAATGAGAATTTTCTTGCAAGATGATTCAGTGTCTTCTGCCTAGTTGTGCTATATGAGTCTCAAGTACTACTAAATTATGGAACATTAAGACTCTAATATGCTGTAATTTAGTTAGATGATCCATTTTAAGCCCCCTGGAATGGGGACTCTTTTGAATACATCTCTGTATCCCTCCACAGAACCTAGCACAGTGCCTCACAGAGAGTGCAGCTGAATAGGTATTTGCTAAATGGACAGATTTTACAATCTCACTCTGTAGCTAGTTTCTTGGAGAAAAGGAGAGACCTTGTTCCAGAGTTAGGATTGCAAAGCATGATCTCACCCGAGGAACTAAAGGAGAAATCGCCCCAAGCTGCAGCGAGCTGATCTGTAGGACCTTTGTGAGTGTCCCCATTCCCCACTTTCATGTGTGTGCTGGTCCCCAAAACGGCCACCTACACCTGCGAGGACTGTGTATAGAGGGCTTTGGTGAGTCGCCTTTGCTGCTATCTGTCGCTGTCGGGATGAAGGCCGAAACTCCTAGCTCTCCTCTCTGCAAAGTCAGGTGCTGGGCCAGCGTGGCTGATGGGGGGGCGACGAGCACCTGCAGCCAGGGCTGTGATGATCCGCCCCTCCAACACGCCGTCTTCAAAACCCATGGTCTGGCTCGACAGACACGCCTTGCCCTTAAAATTATTCCCCTCTGATGAATTAATCTGTCCGTACATCGATTCATTCACAAATTCTCTGCTTTTGCCCTGCACACCTGATGGGCTAGAGTCTCTTTTAGCATAGATATAATAACCCATATAGACACTAAAAGGAAATAGCAGTTCTGCAGAAGTGTTGAGATAAAAATACCCACTCAAATGTAGAAATGGCTAAGGTCGCAATAAAAACAAACAAACCGGAAAGAAACCATCAAGAGGTCTTCATTTTCCCCCTGATGCAGCAGATGAAATACTCTCTTGAAAAGAGAGGGGAGGCGCTTGCTGAGAGCTCAAGGAGGTAAGACCGGTTGATGCAGTTCCTTCTCATATCGTGGCAGTGTATGCACATCTATGTATATTATATACAGATGTAAGATTTTTGTCAGTACCTCCTTAACATATCATAAAACTTGTGACTGGAACAGGAGCTACGTTGAATGAATAGCTGACCTTCTTACATGTGGTACAATGACTTTAAATGGCATATGATCGTCATTCACCTTCCTATGGTTGGAGAAAATGGCTGAACAGAAAGTCTGTCGCAGAGAGAAATAAAAGCAACAGAGCGTTTTCCAGAGAATTATCGGAGGCTGACATCTAGTGGCCCTCAGTCCCATCGCCGTGCAGCACTCGGAGCAACATTCCACACTGTCCGTGTACATCTGGGCGCTTCGAAGGACCAGTGTGCACGGTGCACAGGCAGACAGAGCTTATTTCCGTGGTCCTTTTTATGTTAAACTTGTTATACTCAGACAGAATGAGAAAACTGAAGTGAAATGGACATCAGTGATCAGTTTTACTCCACATTCTGCATAGAGCTGATGGAAGTCCCCCCTTTTTTCTTTGTTATGTGCTATTTACTATGTAGGGGAGCATCTTCAAACGCAGCTGTGCCACTCCCTGGCTTAGACTTTTTGTAATCTGAAATAATTCTGCTGTGAATTAAATTCTTCTGGCATGCTTAAGTGCTTCTCTAAATTGCCCATTTCTGCCCTGCTTTACCACAAGGGTCAATGGACATGCAAAAGCAAAACCCAGTGATAATTCCCATTACCTTTCACTTTGTGTATTTGGCATTTGCCATATGTTACAGTTTGTATTTTTAAAGTTATATTTTATGTATGTAGCTATTGTGTCTGGGTTTCAACCTTATTCTCTTATGTTCCTTCTTTCTGTCTGTCCTTCCCTCCTTCCCTCCTTCCTTCTTTTCTGCACCTTGTAAATTTACTTCAATATTTATCGCTAGTACATTTCTCCAAGGCTTATCTACTTTTTTCCCATGGATCAATATACATAGTAAAAGCCTATTCTGGAAAGCAGATTACATTGAAAGCTTTCTTGATTTTTTTTTTTAATCCCAATCTTGGCTTCTCTCCTTGATCCCTCTCCAAGAGCCATCAATTTAATGAGTTTGCAAAATGCTTCCTAAGCACCGACCTCTTCCTCTGTGGCATTTATATTCATTTTTCCCCCCCAGGAGACTGCACGCACAACAGCTCTGTGACAAGAAAAGGAAAGTAATCGGCCTGGTGCTCTTATTCACAAGTTCTGTCAAGTTAAGCTGTCAGAAGCCCAGAGATGTGAAGGAAAATCAAGAAAAAAGAAAAAGAGTACAAAGAGATTGTGGCCGCCTGGAAGGTGAGTCCGGCTCTCGCTGAAGCCGTGACGGCCTGTCAGGCCTGGGCCAGAGGTTCCCCTGGCCCCTGGAAGGGCCCTCCGGCTGGTTCTGCCAGAGCATGTCGGGGAGAAGGCTGGGACAGCTCCGGGATGATGTCTCTCCTGTCCCCCCGTCCCCTGTGCGCTCGGGTCCTCACAGAACCACCACACCTCCACACCCAGGCACACGCCCTTGGACGCGATCTGGGGGTACGGCCGCAAGGGAGGTCACTCTGAGTCCTGGGCTGAAGTTCACAGGTGGGACAGCTAGGCCACTGCCAGGGATTAGGTCTGCTAGGATCCTGCAAAGGGAACATTTTCCTGAAAACTATCAAAGCCCTTCAGGAGACCATGTAACTGCATTTGACATAGAGATTCCATGGGCTGGAGTACCCTTGTATCATTTTCAAAATATTTTTACTGTATTTATTTTTTTAAAGAAAATTGCTTCCATTACATTTCTATTTTGTCCGTAAAACTGTTTTTGCTTTCATAGACCTGATGCCGAATCCAGTAGAAATCAAGAGACAGTTTTCTCTGAGCATTTGTCATGCAAGAGCTCTACCCCAAAGCTTGGAACGTGGCTTCGCTGGGAAAGAGGTAGGTGACCGTCGCCTTCTCAGCACTTGCCAGGGGTACTTCTGGAAAGCCGAGAAGTGCAGCACCATCTCAGTCTGCCACGCTTCTGCCTCCTCCTCAGTCAGGCATGTCTGCAGGGCTGCCCTGCGTGCCGGGGCTTCTCCAGGGCCTCCCCACGGCACCTCCTGGAGTGGGGAGAGGTGTGCAGTGATCCGTCCGGGTGGTGGCCTGGGGCTGGTGGCCCTTACGTGCTGCTTTTCCTCCTTGTCCACTCACTCTGTCTTCCCTTAGAATCCTGGGATCTGGTGCTCCTGGGCCCCAATTCCCCTAACAGTCCCCTAACTCACAAAGGGCCTCACGAGGGCATTACCAACCCTCCTGGAAAAAGGCCTGAAAAATGATGTGCCGCCGTCCATTCACGCACAGTCCTCCAATTAATTTGGATGATGACTCAAATTTAGTTTTACCCACGTGTAAGATTATTTCCATTTTTCGATACATTATGTTAACTTTGTAGCTTATGTTTATTTTGCATGTACATTAAAATACAGAGCAAATTACAACTAACTATATTAAACACATATGTTTTCCTCACAGATTAGTCAAAGCATAATGTGCTCTAAGTATTTTTTTTTAATTAAATACTAACTGGGGCTATCTTTGTGTTTATTCTTATCTGAATTAACTCCTCTCCCCCTTTCTCTCTTCAGAATTAGCTGCTACCATGAATAGAACTGCATCCTTCCTACATTTTAATATTTTAATGGTGTTTAATACATATTCATGCAATTTAACACATAGGCTTATACAGTTTGCTTTTTTCTTTCAACATTGTTTAAAGATATAGCCATGTTATTCTATAGCTTTATGTAAGTAACCATAAATATTTTTAACCAAGTTGTTGTTCCTCCTATCAATTGGTACATAAGATAACATGGTCAGAACTGTATTATATATGATACCTATATATAATATAGAAGTATAAGTGTAATATGATATATTTATCCATTTTTTATTAACAAAGGCTTAGGTTTCCAAATTTTTCCCTTATGAAAAATATTACAATGAACAATAGTTTACATTCCTCTTTGTACATATGCACAATGGTTACTTAAGGTGCATAGCGAAAAGCACAGTCCTTCTGGCATTAGGTCATGAGAATATTCAAGTTGGCTAGCTATTTTATGGAATAAAATTCCCAGTAGCAGAATATGAGAAGCACCTTTGATCTACACTCTTCGACTGTCAGAGTTCTGTTGCCAATCTGACAGAGGTACAGTGCTATCTAGTTATGGACTAAGTTGATGTTTCCCTGCTAACTCTGGGGATTGGGCATTTTTCGTATGTTAATGGACCCTTTGGGATTCTTCTCCCGTGAACTGCCATCTTTTATCTTGTGTCCATTTTGCTAGGGATGCAACGCTGGGATCGCTGAGCAGTCCTGGCTTCCGAAAAAAAAGAGAAGTCATTCAATTCTATTTTTATATGAAATGAAAAATTCTTTAAGATTTAATAATCAACATGAAAAGTCTGATAACAACTTAATAAGATGAAACATTACAGAACAACAGGAGACCCTGTGAGGCCACGCAGTCAGTGTTAGTGGTCCTGTTTATTCATTTTATGAAATAATTCATCCCAACCTCCTGGAATTTGTAAAGACAGTTGTCACTAAATATGCTATTAAGGGCAACTGTATTTATTGAAGAAGCATATCCCAATTTATCACTAACTTAATTATTAAGCTAACATTATCATTTCTAGTTAAAGATATTTTAAACTTAAAGTCTCAAACTGCAGAAAAGGCTTCTACAAACGCATAATTGTCAGTTAAATTTCAGAATGAGTTTCATCCTAAGGTGTATGATGGAATTGCAAACCATTGTCAAGAAATATTGGGAAGAACCATGCTCAAGAGCAACGTGGCAATATACTTGGCATTAAAGGAAAAGAATCATTCATTACATCACACAAACATGTTTGTGTTCATTTCAAACAAAATTCTCCAATGTATATTCCCCTAATATTGTACTCTGGGCTCTCCGTAAGGCATGTTTATGCTACTTAGCTTAAATTCCCTCTCAGTGACCACTTTTTTTTTTAATTCCCA